CCCTGTGTCCTTTCCCAAACTCAAAAAAGCCTATGAAAAAGGTACCAGGGGCATCTCATAGGGCCCCCTACTGATCCAAGGGCCCTCGGGCAGTGCCGAGTTTCCAAATGGTCAGTCCACCCCTGTATATACGTGATTTCGCATTTCTGGGTAGGAGAGGCATGCATGCCCTACCCTGCGCCACCATTCGCGCCCACGGATGTCAATCACCAGGTCCCAGCCGGTGCTTACTCACTGGCGCCCTGGTGATTGCTGAGCATCTCCGATGGGCGGGAAGAGCTGTTTCTAAACAAAACAGTTCTCTCCCCTGTCAGCTCCTGCACACTGCTTTGCATGGCTGTACACAGCACAGCCATGCAAAGCAGTGTGCTTGCAGTGAAACACACAGACACAGCCCCTAGTAGTGGATACAAAGAAAACAAACCGGCCTAGTGCATTATCGTAAAAAATATTTATTGAAATGATAAAAATGTAGGTATCGTACTCACAATTGACATAAAGGTCAAAGCCACATCACACAGACCAGCGGTGTCCTATCCACACTACAAGTAAATCCGCAATTGGAGCCCTGGACTTCCAACAGGCTAACGCGTTTCAGGGATTAGCCTCTTTCTCAGGCTTTTTACGATAATGCACTAGGCCAGTGCGCCCTCTGTTTGTTTTCTTTGTATCCAGTGCTTATGGACTACCCTGGTCCATTGAGGGCAGCATGGAGTGCACATTCCAGGACATCCGGATGTAGCCAAAGCCCTAGCTGAGTCCATCCCCAAGCGCAGGACTATTAGAGTTTGCTGTGTTTTTCACAGCCCCCTAGTAAAACAGCACACTGTTAACCCTTTGATCGCCCCACATGTTAACCCCTTCCTGCCCAGGGCCATTAGTACAGTGGGTGTGCTTTTTATTAGCACTGATCACTACATTGGTGTGCACTGGGGATGTCTGTGACACCAAGTCAGCCCAGTGTCAGAATGCCCACCGCTGTCTCACTATAAGCGCTGATCTCCGCCATTTACTTTAAAATTAAAAAAAATAAAAAAAAATCCCAGTATATACCATCCCAACTAATTTACAATGTTTTTTTAGCAGCATTTTAGCCTACATGACAATTTATGACAAAATTTGATTCTTAAAAAATTTTTTTTACTTACTGAGTTTAATAATACAAAAAAAGTAATAGTAAAAAATAAAAAAAAAGTTTTTCTGTTTTTACTAAAACATTGAGGGCAGCATGGATGTGCGTTGATGAGCACTGACATTCCAGCACTGTTTGCAATTAGGTGGCACGGATAGGCAGCACTGATGTGCATGATAGGTGCACTAATATGCAGCAATGATGGGCACTGATAGGCGGCACTGATGGGCACTGATAGGCGACACCCACTGACTCCTGCCAAGCTGATGGGCACAGGTGGATGGCACTGGTGGGTAGCTCTGATCATCAGTGCCGATCTGTTTTGCTGTGCCGGTTATTGGCAGTACTTCCCTCACCTATAGTGAAAACAGCACACTGCTGTGTCACACAGCTGATTTGATGTGATTGGCCCCATCATGTTAATCCTGTGTCCGTAGGATACCTGCCCGGGCCAGATCGCTGGGGTGTGCTTTTTGGGAGCGTCATATGACTGAACACAACTGTGCTGTAGCCGTCATTCGGCTATTGCCCGGTTATCAAGCGGTTAATAGCAAAATGTCAAAAATACAGTTTTTTTTCTCAAAATTTAAGGTCTTTTTTTTTATAGCACATAAAATAAAAAACGCGCAGGCAATCACCACTCTTTTTGTGGGAGAAAAGGACATACATTTGACAGCCATGGCCCGCAATTGTCACAAAGTAACTAGCGCCGTAACCAAAAAAAATATGGCCTGGTAGGAAAGGGGAGTAAATCCTCTGGAGGGCAAGTGGTTAAGCAGCAACTTAAGGACCTCTTCCTCTAAGAATCTGACATACTACCAGCAAATATTGAGCTATACTGGGACACATTACACCCCTCTGAGCAACGCACTCTAGCTCAGTCTCAGGGATCTCCCACACCGGTCTGTACTACAAATGTCCATAGTTAGATGCCATACCTTCCAATATCTTCCAGACACCTCTCCCGTGATACCACACTAGATCCCAAAAAATCAGGACTTCAGTAAGCTCCAATGAACTCCATACTCCTCTCCCTAGTACATACTACCCACACAAGGCGGGCCTGCCTATACACTCCTAGGATGGGATCCCCTCCTCTAGGATAAGAACCACTGTAAAGCATGCTATTTATTCTCCCTCCCACATCATCTGGCATCTCCCCACAGGGCTCCATTTGACTCTCTCAACCCCCTATCTCCAGAACTCTTCCAGACAGACATACTCAACCCTGCAGCCAGTGAATTGCGGAACAAACCAGAATAATCAAATGCAGCTTAACTGATTACAGTGAGCCAATAACTAAATTTACCTAACCTAGCATCTATCTAGCATCTATCTATGTAGCATCCAACATATACTAGTGCTCCCTGTTCACTCCCTACTGACACTGTCCACTGCCCCCATTGCCTATTGACACCATCCACTGGCCACTCACTTTGAAAAGAAATGATAAAAATAATTAAACATTAATTTGCCATAAAATTGTAAAAAAAAATAAATAATACTAATAAAAATGAAGAACTACTGACACCACCTAGCCATCCTACACATACTACCCACAGCCATCCCTCCTCACTCCTCTCCCTGTACATACTACCCACCACCATACACTCCATACTCCTCTCCCTGTACATACTACCCACTGCCATACACTCTGCATACTCCTCTCCCTGTACATACTACCCACAGCCATACACTCCATACTCCTCTCCCTGTACATACTACCCACAGCCATACACTCCATACTCCTCTCCCTGTACATACTACCCCACTTTCATACAGTCCACGCTGTACATTCCCTATTTAACATTAGCTAATTCTGCACTATATAAGTAATATCAGACACTATTTAACCACACCCCTTTTAAGCCACGCCCAATTTTCAGCGCAATTTAAAACACACCCCTCCTCTCTCATCCCTTCCTCTCTCTCACTCCTCCTCCTCTCTCTCTTTCTCACACACCCCTCCTCTTTTTCACCCTCTCACTACCCTCTCTCTTTCACTTACCCCACATGGAAGCCATCTTTAAACCTGGAAGTGCCCAGTGGCTTCTACAGAAAGAAGCTGGGAACATTAATGCAGTCTTTGCTGTGTGAGATGGGGAAACAGCTTTCATTGTTTGCACACTGACTGAAGTAAATTAAAAACGTTCTGACTGACATTCTGCAGTTTAGCCACAAGATGTCACTGTTTTTTCTAACACAGCCTCAGACTGCATAGAGATTTCTATATTCATGAAGGGGTGGGGTTTTACACTTAGAGAGTGAACAGGAAAAGGAGAGGGAGAGCAGCCATGCTTGAGAGAGAGAAGGGGGGCTGTGTGATCTGAGAATCCGATGCCATCCAGATGTGCGGACAGCCCTCTGTAATCAGAAATTTAGTTGAGTGAAACTGATGGTGTTCAAGACACTAACCCTGTTCAAAGAAAGGAAGATTGCTGCCAGGAAGCTGATGGGAAGCTGAGAAACTAAGCAATATATATACTGTGATATCGAATGCTTCATGGAGAGACATTTGTTCTGTTCAGAGTCACCAGAGGATGCAAAGCAGACCCGGGTCGATAAGATCGTGCACGCACCTCATTTCAGTGTTGGCGCCTATAGGACTGAGACAGGCCTATAGTTAGTTAGTTAGGGTCTCTGTTTGTGTTCAGAAGGAATACTCAGGCACGTGCTACAGGACCAGTTATGGGAGGGGGAATACTGTAGATTTGTGTAAGATTGTAAGCTGTTGTGCTGCACCGCAGGCTAGCCCATACCGTACACCCATACACTGATTCTTGTTCTTTTAGGGTAATAACAGGTAAGGTGTGGCAGCTTAGTTGTGCCCGCCAGTAGGTAAATTACTACTCTTTCTACCTTCATCCATCAGAAGGTGCTGCACAAGGGTCTCAGCCTTTGGGCTGGGTGTATGTAAATTTATTGTATATTCCAGCATTTGTGGTTTTGTTTTTTTTGCCACATCTAAGTAAAATTCTGTTGTGACAAAAGCTGGTGTTGGGGTTGCTTTCCTCATTCGTGACTTCACTGTATCCCGGGGAGCCCACCCCGGTACACGGCTTACAGCTGCAGTAAATATTTAAATGCCCCTTCTATGCAGCTGAGCTGCAATATGTAGGTAGGGTGTTGTGTGGGTGTGTGGCTTGAGTGTAGGTGGGGGAACAGGGGGCCCCATTATCTCTTACTGCCCGGGGGTCCCATGAGTTGCCAGTCCACCCCTGTATGTATTGTATATAGGACACTATCTGCATGGAGTTTGCATGTTGTCCCTGACTTGTCTGGGTTTCCTCTAGGTACTCCGGTTTCAACCCACCTCCAACGACATGGTGGTAGGTTAACTGGCTCCTGTCTAATTTGGCCCTAGTATATGTATGTGAGTTAGGGACCCTAAATTGTAAACTAGCTGAGGCTGGGAAAGGGTGTGAGGCTCCCAGCTGCTTCTTCTCTCTTTCTCCCTTCTTCTCTCTCTCTTCTGCCCCCCTCCAGCATAGGGGTCCCCTCCAGGCGACTGGACCCTGGACTCCGCTCTCAGACTGCCAGGCTTCTGAGTATTTATGGGTTGTTCCCACCCCATATAGGTCCTGTCTGCCCAGGGATTGCTGGATACTCCATAAATATTCAGACTGCAGATTCTGTCCCTTCACCCACTAGATTCTGGAACTATCCAGAAAATTCCAGAAGACAGGGGGAGGTAACAAGACAATAGACTGTGAAGCTCTGCAAAGCCTACCTAATCAATTAGCCCTACTCCTCTGTCAACAGTGGTGCTAAACTAAATTTACCTACACTTAGTAACACTGTGGGTGTTACACATCTTTTGTTGGTGCACACAGATAGGTAAATAACTTTAATGCAGGAGAAACATAGTACACTATATTGCCAAAAGTATTGGGACCCCCCTCCAAATCATGTGATTCAGGTGTTCCAATTACCTCCATGGACACAGGTGTATATAATCAATCACCTAGGCATGCAGACTGCTTCTACAAACATTGGTGAAAAAATGGGTCGCTCTCAGGAGCTCAGTGACTCCAAGCGTGGTCCCGTGATAGGTTGTCACCTGTGCAATAAGTCCATCCGTGACATTTCCTGGCTACTAAATATTCCACGGTCAACTGTTAGGGGTATTAAATCAAAGTGGAAGCAATTGGGAACAACAGCAACTCGAAGTGGTAGGCCACGTAAAATGACAGGACGGAGTCAGTGTTTGCTGAAGCGCACAGTGCGCAGAAGTCACCACGTGTGGTTTAGTGTGATTCACATGCGTTTTGCAGTGATGTTGATATTACCTTATGCGTTTTTATGGTATCACACTATGTGAGTTCTCTCTTTTTTTGAGGTTCGATATCCATAAACACAGGATCTACATTTGGCTGGAAGCCTTTTTTGCGGACTGTCTTTCTGGAGGATTTTTGTCTATTCTGTTTATTTTATTTGATTATATTTTTTTTTTTATTGTGGACAATATAATTTTTGGACAGTAGTATTTATTTATTTATTTGTGTTATTTAGTATATTAGCACCTTATATATATATATATTTAGTGCGCAGAAGTTGTCAGCTGTATGCAGAGTCAATAGCTAAAGACCTCTAAACCTCATGTGCCCTTTAGATTAGCACAACAGTGCATAGAGAGCTTCATGGAATGGGTTTCCATGGCCAAGCAGCTGCATCCAAGCCTTACATCACCAAGTGCAATGCAAAGCGTCAGATGCAGTGGTGTAAAGCACACCACCACTGGATTCTAGAGCAGTGGAGATGTGTTCTCTGGAGTGATCAATCATGCTTCTCTGTCTGGTAACCTGATGGGCGTGTCTCCGTTTGGTAGTTGCCAGGAGAACAGTACTTGCTTGACTTGTGCCAGCTGAAAAGTTTGCTGGAGAGGGAATTATGGTATGGAGTTGTTTTTCAGGGGTTGGGTTGGCTCCTACAATCCAGTGAAGGGAACTCTTAAGGCATCAGCATACCAAGACATTTTGGATAATTTCATGCACCCAACTTTGTGGGAAGAGTTTGGGGATGGCCCCTTCCTGTTCCAACATGACTGCGCACCAGTGCACAAAGCAAGGTCCATAAAGACATGGAGGAGCCAGTTTGGGGTGGAGGAACTTGATTGGCCTGCACAGAGTCCTGACCTCAACCTGATAGAAAACCGTTCGGATGAATTAGAGCGAAGACTGTGAGCCAGGCCTTCTCGTCTGACACCAGGGCCTGACCTCACAAATGTGCTTCTAGAAGAATGGTCCAACCTTCCCATAGACACCCTCCTAAACCTTGTGGACGGCCTTCCCAGAAGAGTTGAAGCTGTTATAGCTGCAAAGGGTGGGGCCAACTCAATATTGAACCCTACGGACTATGCCTGGGATGCCATTAAAGTTCATGTGTGTGTAAAGGCAGGCGGCCCAATACTTTTGGCAATATAGTGTATGTCTCTTCTGAATTAAAAAAACCTGCCTGTTCACAATTTATTTTTTTATCATAGTTTCACTTTACCTAAAAAAAAATCTAAAAACAGATATGGTGCAAGATAAACTACACATCGGGGATCCCTTTGTTAATGTACCTTGTTGCCATGGAAATGCTTGTGTGTCTTCCTAACCATCTGTCCTCTCCTGTTTCACAGTGTGAGATGTTCTCAAGATGTAAAGGTCACTCCCAGCCAGCTCATTTATTGATTATTGGTCTGGCAGAGGTCTCACAAAAGCTGCGTGAGCGGTGTTGTGTCTATGCATTCAGCATCCAAGGAGACAAGCAGAGGGAGGCACGTCCTGACCTTATGCATATTGTGTCTGGCTCCAACACCCAAACCATCACCAACATAAACATGTTCTGAGGTGGAAATATGGTTATTTTTGGTATGGTATTGAAACAACAACCATGTATTTTTTTATCTTTTGAAGTGTCCCTGTCATTATACAGAAGTTTCCTAGGTGAGGCATACCTGTAAATACTTACCTCTACTGCTTTTGAACACCATCCCATTCATGACAAATTTTCCCCCAGAGTCTTCTGGGAAACTGACACTATTAAAAGTGGCTAGAAGTTAAAGAAGCAATTGCTGGATAACTTAATCACTTCCTACTTCTTTTGTAATCAAAGTGGTCACATGAGCGACATTGCTAACTACTAAACATTAAAGATAGGTGGGCATAGTATCAGTGTGTCCTCTGCCATGGACTTTGCTCTCCATCTTGAGAGAGCCTGTGTCTCATTGGACACAAAGCTCTTTGGAGACTTGGGTGGTGATCTTGGACTCATACTGGGTTATATATAGCCCTGGCTGGGTCACTACTGGGTGCTGAGGAGAGCCTGGCAAAGAATCAATGTGTCCTCTGCCATGGACTCCAGGCTCATTTTTGGGAGAGCCTGAGTCTCATTGGACACAAAGCTCTTTGGAGACTTGGGTGGCCATCTTGGACTCATACTGGGTTATATATAGCCCTGGCTGGGTCACTACTGGGTGCTGAGGAGAGCCTGGCAAAGGATCAATGTGTCCTCTGCCATGGACTCCAGGCTTATTTTTGGGAGAGCCTGAGTCTCATTGGACACAGAGCTCTCTTGAGATTTTGGCCATCATCTGGTACTTATAAGGGGTTATTATATAGCCCTTCCGGGTCACTTTGATAAAGTCCATGATGTGGGAACTTACAGACAGGAATAGAGATCAGCTTGTGAGAGAGAAATTGTGCATGAAATCCAAATCTCGTCACTGGTAATAATCCTCGACATGAAGGCCGGGTCATCATTGGCACGCTGATGGAGTTCTTGACAGACTTCGACGTGTTGTTCCTTCTGCTCCTGGGTCAGCAGCCTGGGGACGAATTTGACAGCGACACAGCGCATGTTCAAATCACACATAAGGATTCCCTAGACTGTTCCATATGACACACGGACAATGGTAGCAATGTTGTGGATTGTTCTCTGATGATCATCTTGCACAAGTTGACGAATGGTTTCAACATTTTCGGGGGTTGAACTCGTTGAATTTCTTCCTAATCTCTCATCATCTTCCAGTGATGTTCTTCCGCTCTTGAAGCACCACTCAGAACACCTTGAACGACTCACTGCAGCATCTCCGTGAACTTGCTGAATCATATCCAAAGTCTCTGTGGCAGATTTTTCCAGTTTCATGCAGAACACATTTACTCTTTGTTCTAACTTGCTGTCCATAATGAAATAGCAAATGTGGTAACGCATATGGTCAGAATGGCACAGCTCCTGATGTACACAGGACAGTGTCTTTTCGCACACTGCCCTATGAAGGTTGGTGCTCCCTGTGACTGTGCCTGCAGCCTGGTGCTGCTATATGTTGGCGTGTTACAAAACTAGTCTCAAAACTTTCTGATACCACCTGCTACAGTATACATACTTTTTCAACAGAGCTGAACTTTGAAGAAGAATAATGCTTTGTTATAACTAATTAATTGTTTCTTTATACATAAAAGAAATGCCTAAAGCGGAGTTCCAGTTGTTTTTGTGTTTATTAAAAGTCAGCAGCTACAGAATCTGTGGCTGCTGAGTTTTAATAAACACACACTTACCTGTCCCGGAGTCCAGCGATGTTCTCACCCGTGCCTTCCCTTCTCCTCTTCTCTCCTCCATGGTGGCAGCATCTCTACTGTGGGCACCAGGTTGTGACAACTTGCGACTTCACAACCTGGTGCCCACTGCGCATGCTGCGCCTACTAATTGGTCCGGCAGTCTTCTGGGACCTGTGAAAGTTCCCAGGAGACTGTGGGAGGGAGGAGCCAGCCGAGCTTCTGGCTCACTTTGCCGCAGCGAACTGAGCCCGAAGTGGGAGCGGGTACCTGTCAAAACCAGGTACCTGCTCTCTCCTCCCCCCCAAAAGGTGCCAAATATGGCAGTGGAGGGGAGAAGGAGGCAAATAAGCAGAGTTTCCGCTATTGAGTGGACCTCTGCTTTAAAGGTTAAGTTCACCTTCTGGAACATTGTAAATGTTCCACCTGTATTTAGGGTGGAACATGTAACATGTTCCATTTCCTTCAGCCAGTTCCCCCTCAACCTCCTGCCCTTGGTGTGGGAGCGGGTGGGGAATCTTTTCCCCGCATCCATTGTCACAATTTTAAAACAGTGTAGCTGTGTGGGGCTCCGCCCACATGATTCATTTATTTTCTGTGAATGGACAGACTACCATCAGCCACCGCGACTGATGGATTTTCATTCTGAATAGACTGCGGGGGCGCTAATGAGTGATCTCATTCAGTTAGGTCCATATATATTTGGACAAAAGGCACAATTTTAGTTTTTTTTTTCAAGTATTTACCAAAACATATTCAAGCTATAGCTATATAATGGCTATATAATGGATATGGGCTGAAAGTGCACACTCTCCAGTTTAATTTGAGGGTATGTATATCCAAATTGGAGGAAGGGCTTAGGAATTACAGCTCTTAAGAGTAGCCATCCCCCCTTTTTCAAGGGACCAAAAGTAACTGGACAATTGAATCAAAAACTTTTTCATGGCCAGGTGTGGGCTATTCCTTTGTTATTTCTTCATCAATTAAGCAGGTAAAAGGTCTGGAGTTGATTCTAAGTGTGGTATTTGCATTTGGAATCTATTGCTGTGAACCTACATCATGCGTTCAAAGGAGCTGTCCATCCAAGTGAAACAGGCCATTGTAAGGCTTCAAAAATTAACAAATCCATCAGAGCGATAGCAGCATTAGGAGTGGCCAAATCAACAGTTTGGTACATTCTGAGGAAAGAACACACTGGTGAGCTCAGCAACATAAAAAGGCATGGACGTCCACGGAAGACAACAGTGGTGGATGATCGCAGGATCCTCTCTATGGTAAGGAAAAAGCCATTCACAGCATCCAGACAAGTGAAGGACACTCTCCAGGAGGTGGGCGTATCATTGTCAAAGTCTACAATCAAGAGAAGACTTCACAAGAGCAAATACAGAGGGTTCACCACAAGGTACAAACCATTCATAAGCCTGAAGAATAGAAAAGCCAGATTAGACTTTGCCCAAAAAACATCTAAATAAGCCAGAGCAGTTCTGGAAAAGCATTCTATGGATGGATGAAACTAAGATTAATCTGTACCAGAATGACGGGAAGAAAAAAGTGTGGAGAAGGCTTGGAGCAGCTCATGATTCAAAGCACACAACATCATCTGTAAAACATGGTGGAGGCAGTGTGATGGCATGGGCATGTATGGTTTCCAGTGGCACTGGGTCATTGGTGTTTATTGATCATGTGACAGAAGCAGCCAAATGAATTCTGCAGTGTTTAGAGATATACTGTCAGAACAGATTCAGCCAAATGCAGCAAAGATGATTGGACGGCACTTCACAGTACAGATGGACAATGATCCAAAACACACTGCAAAAGCAACCCAGGAGCTCTTGAAGAAAAAGAAGTGGAATATTCTGCAATGGCCAAGTCAATCACCTGATCTCAACCCAATTGAGCATGCATTTCACTTGCTGAAGGCAAAACTACAGGCAGAAAGACCCACAAACAAAGAACATCTGAAGACAACTGCAGTTAGAGCCTGGCAAAGCATCAGAAAGGAGGAAACCCAGTCTTTGGTAATGTCCATGGGTTCCAGACGTCAGGCAGTCATTGCCAGTAAAGGATTCTAAACAAAATAATGAAAATGAACATTTTATGTTATGATTACATTCATTTTGTCCAATTACATTTGAGCCCTTAAAAATGGAGGGACTGTGTATAAAAATGGTTGCAGTTCCTAAAATTGGTACTTGATATTTATATTCAACCCCTTGAATTAAAGCTGAAAGTCTGCACTTCAAATTCATTTGGATTGTTTCATGTTAATTTATTCTGGTGGCATGCAGAGCCAAAAGTATGAAAATTGTGCCTGTGCCCAAATATATG